AAAACTGCTTAATTAGTTCTATTTTATTAAATGTTATGATTTTTTTTCCTTGGAAAGCATCAATTACAATTCTTGTTTAATGTGAGGAATATCAATCAAATGCCATGCCATCAATCAACTAATGGCATTGATGACCAATCAAAATATTTAATTGCTGACATGTCATCAATCCACTAATGGGATTATAAATTATAAGACCGAATTAAAAAAATAAAAAAAAAATTAAAAAAAAAGAAATATATTCAATATGGATAGATCATTTTGAAACGCCCAAATAGTATATGGGACTAACATTATGAAATGGAGGGAGTAACTTCGTATGAATCTTGTAACAAAAATAAAAATAAAAAAAGACAATAAGAGCTAGATATAAAAAATTTACAACAATTCCCCTACTTTTTTCTAAAAGCAAGGAGTTTGAAGTTGCAAAATTAAATTGGTTTTTTTTATTGGAGCAAAAAATCAGGTAATTTTTGTTACTTATGCGTGAGAAATTCCCTAATGTTTGTTTCAAAGATTATGTGAGTTACACTATTCTCACTAACATTCCATCATCTCCATCTACATCTCCTAATAATTGGTCTCCAAAGCAGCCCTCCGGTACTCCTTACCCAATAGCACATTATATCAATTGTGATAGTTTTCTCCACGTCACTGTAATTATATTACATCTATTACTTCTGGCAAAGAGCCGAGATCTTTTAAGGAGACTATGAAGGATGTAGGTTGGAGAAAATCAATGCAAAATGAAAATCAGGCTCTTGAAAATAATGCCACATGGACAATGGAAGATCTTCCTCCTGGCAAGTGTCCTTTAGGGAGTCAATGGGTATACAAGATTAAATATAATTCTGATGGGTTATTGAACGTTTGAAATCCATATTGGTTGTCTTCGGCAATCATCAAAAGGAGGGCATTGACTACACTGAAAATTTTGCTCCGATTGCTAAAATGGTCACTGTTGGAGCCTTCCTTGCCATTGCAGCGAGTAAAAATTGGGAGGCACACTAGATGGATGTGCATAATTCATTCCTTCATGGAGATTTTGAAGAGGAAATGTACATGAAACTTCCTCCAGGCTTTAAATCATCGTCTCCGAATAAGGTATGTCGCCTTAGAAAATCCTTATATGACTTGAAACAGACCCCTCGATGCTGGTTTGCTAAACTCACTTTTGCTTTGAACGCATATGATTTCTTCAAGTCATACTCAGATTATTACTTGTTTACTTACACTAACTGTGGCACACAAATTAGTGTGCCTGTGTATATTAATGAACTCATTACCTCTGGAATAATTCTGCTGCTCTTAGGGCATTCAAGGCATATCTTAGTGACTGTTTTCATATGAAAGATCTTGGTACATTGATAGAAGTTGCTCGTTTCTGGTTTTTTCTTGTGTCATAGAAAATATACTCTTGACATTATTTCAGAGGCAGGATTATTAGGTTCCAAGCCTGCCGATTTTCCTATGGTACAAAATTACAAGCTTGGTCTAGCAAGTAGTCCCGTACATTCTGATCCTGAATCTTATCGCAGACTTGTCGGTAGGTTAATCTATCTTGCAGTCACTAGGCCAGATTTAGCCTATTCGGTCCATATTCTATCTCAATTCATGTAGGAACCAAGAAAGGAACACTAGGAAGCAGCTCTGCGAGTTGTTAGATATATGAAAGGCACTCCAGGTCAAGTTATTTTGTTACGATCTGATAGTGAACTTGCTCTAAAGGGTTGGTGTGATTCAAACTAGGCTGCATGTCCCTTAACACGCGGATCTTTGACAGGATGGCTGTTTTTTTAGGCTACCCGTCTATTTCACGGAAGATCAAAAAGCAACCAACGGTTGCTACAAGTTTGACAGATGCAGAGTATCGCTCCATGTATGCCATAACTGTTGAATTAAAGTGGTTGAAGGGTCTTCTTTCGAGCTTAGGTGTACATCATCCCAAAGCTATTAAATTGTTCTGTGATAGTTAGTCTGCATTGCACATTGCGAATAACCCGGTGTTTCACGAACGAACAAAGCATATTGAAGTTGACTGTCACTTTGTTCGGGATGCTATCATAGATGGTCTCATTGATCCCTCCTATATTCCTACCCATGCCTAATTTGCCGATATCTTCACCAAAGCATTGGGCAAATCACAATTTGAACATCTTCTTCCCAAGTTGGGCGTCTATAGTCCACCTGCTCCAACTTGAGGGGAGAATATATATATTATAGTTTCCTTAATTATAGGCTTGATTGACTCAAGATAATGTCTTGTGATATTATCTTAGGAAGCTATGTACTCTATTTATATGATTTGTGATCAATGAGAAGAACTTAAGCTTTGAGCCCTTAACAATTTATCATAATTCAAAGGAAATTTTGCCAAAAATCACCTTTTATAAGAAATTTTTTGCAAGACACCATCGTATAATTATTTTTTTTTTTTGGAATGGCATACCTTAATCAATTTTTTTTTTTTTGGCAAAGACACACCTTAACTAAATTTTTTTGCAATGACATACCTTTAGCTGGAAAAGAGTGTTTGACCCTGTTTCCCGACGTTGACCCAACCACGTGCGATGCACATGACCTCTTAAAACCACTCTTCAATTACGCCACCCACTAGTATAGAACGCCATCGAAACCGCCTACCCACACCCTCCCATATTAGTTCTACACAAAAAAGAATATAACTAGCAAGGTTGTGAGCCACCACGTTTATTTTATCTTTGTAAATAAAATACTATATATGTTAAATTACACAATTTTACTTGTTTGTTATTTCCTTTAATTTTTTTTATTATAATATAATTTGTAATTTTTTATATAAATAAATAAAAATTTTAATAAAAAAATAATATTTTGTTTTTATACTTATTTTAAACTATCAAATAATTGTATACCTATGTGGCACTTAGATTTAAAGTCTAAAATCTTATTCCTTTATATTGCTTATGTGACAATTAAATTTTATTTTTAAAAGACATTGAAAATTATTATTATTATTATTATTATTATTATAATAATATTATTATTATTATTATTATTATTATTATTATTATTATAGTCCTGGATGGAAATCACTCATGAGAATAGTCGTAGACCCTACATTATAGGATGGTTATAGGCTAATGATCCATTTACAATTGTCATATCTTATTCAGTTTAATTCCTTATTTCCTTACCATTTCTTCGATTTAATCTAATTCGTTACTTTATCTAGGTGGTGTTATAATTTTTTAATTCAAAAATAAATTACAAATTTAATTTTTAATTGGTCATAAGACCTTTGCTTATGTGGCGCGCTGAATGCTCCTAAAAATGCTTACTTTATTTATATATATTAGTTTTTCTTACCATTTCTTCAATAAAACAATAGCCAGATAATTGCCAAAAACATGCAAATATGAAGGAACCAAGTTATGTAATCCAGACAAACTATGTCTATTTTTTTTTTTTTTTTTGGTGAAAACAAACTATATATCATGTTAATATAATGTGCTCGGCGATGTAGCGTTGCAACTTAACATCCTGTTAAACAACACTCAACCTTATACAACTATGCAATTTCATTTTATATGGTATTTTGTACATGGTGTACATTTGCGTTAGTTCAGCGTCTAGTCTCAAGGTACTGGCATCTCCGTGGCCCAGTTACCGTCTTTCCTTATGGTAAAGAATTTATCTTTTGTTGTGAAACTACTGAAGATGCGGACGACTTGGATGCTAGAGGATGGGTGCATCTCAAAGGCAGTTTAGTTGTTCTTCAACGACTTCCGCAGCTTGCAGTTCCTTCCAACCTACCTCTTCATTTGGCTGAGTTATGGGTAGGTGTGATGGGCCTTCCCTTTCGTTATTCCACCCCGGAGGTTGCGGCGGAGGTTCTTGCTCATGTAGGTGATGTCACGATGGTTGAAGAGAACATTGGTCAGTTTCCTATCCCTTGTCCTAGAGTTAAAGTACTAGTTGATCTTTCATAACCTTTGATTCCTGGGTGTTATTTTCCCACGTTTGACAATCATGTCACGTGGGTTAAATTTAAATACGAGGGTATATTTAGATTTTGTAAAAAGTGTGGCTTTGTTGGACATGGTTCAACCACGTGCGAGAAATCTGATGTTAAAATAAGGCGTCATTTGGAGTATCGTTTTCGTCGAATTCATGATAACGGAGGGACAATTGTGTTTGGTCCTACGGATTTGGATTTATATTCATCAGCTCTTCGGGGGATATGTCCTTCCCCGAAGTCTTGGATGACGGAGCTTTGGTTCGGTTACCATGATGATGAAGACCCCTCTGAGTTTCTGGCGTGGTGAAAATCAGATTGGGTGTTTCCTCTCGGATGTGGGCCTTGGTGATTTTACCCATTTTGATTTAAGTGGTCAACATAACAATTATGGTGCCTCAACTACGAATCTTGATCATGGAATTATGTACCCGGATTTTGTTAGACATGGTCTGAGTACATGCCAGACAGATAGTCAGCCTTTGACATCTACAGAGTCGTCGGTATCGTCGTCTTTCTCGGTGGTCCCATCTGAGGAGTTGGGATTTTTTCCGGATAATTGGATTGAGGACTTTTCATTTTGTTCGTCCGTTTGAAGTTCGTATCATTTGGGTGTAGATTCAGTAGAATTTGAGCAGGAAATTAATCTGGTGGGTGAAGCGGTTCCCATGGACTGCTCGCCAGTGGTTTTGGAGTCATCGATCTCTTTGGTGTCTTCGGCCAGTTCATTACCTCTTTTGTTGCCTGCTCGCCAGCGCAGGAAAAAGGCAAGGGATCGGGTTCGTTCAATTTGCCCTATGAAAAGAAGGGCTTCTGGTTTGGCTGTGGAAATAGGCCCAGTTTTAGTGGGACAGGGGAAAGAACCAGTGTCAACAGGGTTTTTTTCATGTCCGCCTTTCAAGAAGCGCAAGTGGTCTGGTGTTGGTTCTTTGGTTAGGGGTTTTTGTTCTGGTACTTTTGCTGAGGGTTCGGTGACCCCCCGAATTGGGTTACCCGGAGCACGATGAAGGTTATAGATTGGAACTGTAGGGGTTTAGGTCAAGCGGACTCCCCTAAAGTTCCTTACATTGCTTCTTTAGTCCGCTCTAATCTTGTGGATATTGTGTTCTTAGCAGAAACTATGGTTTTCGTTCAGTCTGTAGCAAATAAATTAGCTTCTTTGTCTTGTTCATGTTATGTAGGTGTGGATTCGGTGGGCCTTAGTGGAGGCCTTTTTGTGTTTTGGTTTTCTCTTTTTCTGGTCGAACCCATTTTGGTTTCTCCACATATAATATTGTGTAGAATAGTGGAGAATCAGGTTCTAAAGCATGTCCTGTTTGTGTATGGTGCGCCGCAAGTTGCGGATAGGCTCACAGTTTGGAGGGACATTTCGGATATTATTGCTTCGTATCCGAATGTCTTATTAATTGGTGATTTTAATCAGGTGGACTCTATTTCGAATAAGATAGGCGGTAACCCAGATATTCAGGGCTGTTATGATTTCATTCAATGGAAATTGGAGGTGGGTTTGATTGATATACCGTTTTCAGGACCTGCTTTCACTTGGACTAATGGAAGAACAATGACTGACCCTACTTTTGAACAACTAGATAAGGCTTATGCTACATCTCTTTGGTTACATGATAGACCTGCAACTTCGGTTCAACACCAACCTATTCTGTTTTCTGACCATGCTGCAATTGTTCTTTGTGACTCTTTGCCTGCTAGTAGATGTAAAAGGTCTTACATGATCGAGAGTTGGTGTCTTCGTGCTTCAGAGGTGGCAGATATAGTCCAGTCTATTTTTCGGACTTCTATTCCGGGCTCTCATATGTTCTCTTTGTCTAAGAAACTATGTCTTCTGCGACATCGCTTACTAGCTTGGTGTGTTTCTCATAAGAAGTTGTGGGGTATTGATTGGAAAGCGTTAGTGGCAGAGGTTTCTCAAGCGGAGACTGTTTTGGATTCTCGTTATAATCGGTGTCTCTTTAATTCCTTGAGGATGGAGAAAATTGTCGAAGCTCAACCTGCTTTTCTCTTCTGGAAACAAAGGGCTAAAGGGAAATGGGATGCGTTTGGGGATGAACACACCCGTTTACTTTTTTCTGTTGTCCAAGCTAGAAAGCGTCGCAACACTATAATTGGCCTCCAGGATAATGCTGGAGCTTGGGTAACAGATGTTGGGGGTATTCGTACATTAGCTTTGGATTTTTTCAAATCTCTTTATAAAGTTAACTGCAACTCTCCTTCTGAGATTCGATCCTCGGTTTCTCAGTTTCCTTGGGAATCTCTTCATTTGCCTTCGTTGTCTGAGTCTCAGCGTCAGATGTTGCTAGCCCCTTTTACTGTTGAAGAGATAAAACATGCTATGTTTAGTATTGGCGATGAGAAATCTCCAGGACTAGATGCGTTTCCTTCGGCTTTCTTTAAAACTCATTGGAATAGGGTGGGTGATCAGGTCATAAAGGCTGTTCAGTTCTTTTTTGCTCATGGGTATTTGCTTAAGGACTGGAACCGTACCTTTTTGGTTTTACTCCCGAAAATTGATCATCCTGAACTTATTTCTCAATTTCGCCCTATTGGTTTATGTAATGTTGTTTACAAATGCATTGCAAAGTGTTTGTCTCATCGGTTGCGAGGGGTGCTTCCAAGCTTAATTTCCGAGTTCCAAAATGCTTTCGTTCCTGGTCGACTTATGTCTGATAATTGTTCGATGGTTCATGAATTGATATCGTTCATGAATGCTTCTAAAGCCATGAAACGCTTTTATGCTGCTTTGAAACTGGATATGAACAAGGCCTATGACAGCGTGGCCTGGGATTTTTTAGCTCGTGTTCTTCAGGTGTTTGGTTTCCCTTTGTATTAGATTCGGCTGATTATGCAGTGTGTCTCGAATGTCTCGTACCAAGTCTTAGTTAATGGTGCTCCGACTGAGAGTTTCAAGCCTCATTGTGGATTACGTCAGGGGGATCCTCTTTCGTCTTATTTGTTTGTCCTCTACATGGAAGTTCTTTCTGCTATGTTACGCAAGGCAGAATCTGCAGGTTTTTTTCAGGGAATTAAAATTGCAAGAAGAGCTCCGACCACCTCTCATTTATTTTTTGCCGATGATTCCTTACTGTTTTTCTAGGTGTCGCCCTCTGCTTGTGATCAGGTGATGCAAGTACTTTCTGATTTCTGCGATATTTCAGGTCAAATGATTAATATGCAGAAATCGTTTGTTAAATTTAGTCCTATTACACCAGAGGATTATCGTGACCATCAATCTACCTATTTGAGGTTGCGCTCTGAGTCCCGGCTTGGTTCTTATTTGGGACTCCCGGTTGATCTAGGGCAAAGTAAATGCTCAGAGTTTAATTTTCTTTTAGATAAGGTGGTTAAACGACTTGAGGGTTTTGCGTCTTTGCATCTCTCTTCTGCTGCAAAATTGGTTGTTATTAATTCTGTGTTAGTTGCTTCGTTTAATCACATATTGTCGGTTTTTAAAATTCCTGAGACCATTTGCTCCAAAATAGATAACTTGTTAGCTAGGTTTTGGTGGAAATCTTCTCATTTGAGTCGAGGAATGGCTATCAAGTCTCATGCTTTGCTGCATCTCCCAAAGGGATTAGGAGGTTTGGGAATTCGGAGTGTTGCTCCTTTCAACTCTTTTATGCTAGCTAAGCAAAGCTGGCGTCTTATCCAGTCCCCTCAATTACTGGTTTCTAGTCTTCTGTTCGCGAAATATCCTTCTTTAAGGAATAGGGAGGCTTCTTTGGTGTCTCATCCATCTTGGGGTTGTAGGGGTCTGCTGACAGGTTTTTCGGTGTTATCTAGAGGTTTAGTTTGGAAGGTCGGTTCGGGTACCAGAGTTCGGATTCTGGAGAATTCTTGGGTTCCAGGTGGGCCGGTCAAGTTTAAGGATCGGCCGTCGGAGCCGGCTAGGTCGTCTCTTGTTTCTTCTCTACTTGATCCGCGTTCTTGCGCGTGGGATGTTTCGGTTGTTCACAACCTTTTTGATTCTCATTCTGCGATGAGGATTCTGTCGTTGGATCGTCCGAAGCGGCTGATGGACGATTTTGTCTATTGGAAGTTCACTAGGGATGGTGTTTTTTCTACAAAATCGGCTTATGCTCTTCAATGTCAGTCTAGCATTTCTCGGGGTTTAGGATGTCAGCTGTCTCCTTCTGGGTGGCGGAAATTTTGGAAGTTACCTATTCTGCCCCGTTGGAAATGTTTTGGTTGGAAGTTGTTACAGAACGTTCTTCCGATGGCTGCCCTACTATCTTCTCGAGGTTGTCCTGTTGATCCACATTGTGCTTTTTGCCATGCTGAGTTGGAGGAGGTGACACATACATTCAGGGATTGTCCGTCTGTTCGTCCGTTGTGGGAGTCGGGGGTTTTGGGGGTCCCTTGGGTGATTTCCCAGTCTTTACCTTTTGAGGTTTGGGTGGCTGATTCTTTTTCTCGTTACTCTTTGTCTGGTTCGGATAACAAGGTTATGGCTTTTTTTGCTATTCTGTGGGAAATTTGGCTTTCTCGAAACCAGCTGAGGTTCAGGCAAGTTGTTTAGTCGCCTGGCACAATTGAGAGTCTAGCCATGGATTGGTATTATCGGTGTGTTCAGGCTCAGGAGCTGAAGAACTCTTCGGTTTGTTCTCATTCGGCAGCTGGTTTGGGTTTGTCGGCTATCTCGTGGTTTTGCTTGCAGGGGTTACCTAATATTTTCCCAACAGCTTGTTTGATTGTGGATGGGGCTTGGGATAGTTCTACTAATAGAGCAGGGGCACGCTGGGTTATTCGTGACCTTTGCTCTTCGGAGGTCTTGAGTGGTGGAAGTCAGGCTTTTATGGCGAGCTCTGCTTTACATTCTGAGTTACAAGTCTGTTTATGGGGGGTTCAGTCTGCAGTGCGCAAGGGTTTTTTGAAGATCCGGATTCATACGGATTGTGCTGCTGTCCTTTCATTTCTCTCATCTCAAGGATCGTTAGACATTTCGGTTTGGTGGCTCATTCAAGATTTGCGAGATGCTGTTCGTTCCCTTTTAGTGTGTCAGATTCGGAAAGTTCCTCGGGATTGGGTTTCACCAGCTCACTGGTTGGCTGGGTGTGCTCGTCGTAGGCAGTTGTTATATTTTCAGTTTTAGTTTTCTTTTCTAGCTCTTTTGTCAAAAAAAAAACTTATGAGTGATCATCTAACCTCTAAGAACTCCATCAATTTATTAAAATATAAACATAATTACTTTCTTGCTGGAGGGGTATTATTATAAAATAATTTTCATTACACACATGATTGTAGACTGATAAGTGTCATTTATGTCGCTATTTTTAGGAGTTTTCTAGTTAGTTTTTCATAGTTTTTCTATCTTTTTACTTGGTTTTAATAACGTTTTACTACATTTGTCATGTTTATGTGTGAAATGTCGTTATTGCTCAATTTTGGCTTTTCTTGCATATTTTGGTGGCTTATGACATTAGATTAAACTTTATTGGTTTACTATTATGTTTAGGAACACTTGGATAAGTTCATTGCTCAAGATTGAAGAAATATAAAGCATAAAAGAACAAGTAATGAAGAAATGTGCACTTGATTTGCAAAGATCATACTTCAAACGCCTATATCTTTTGATCTACAAAACATTTTGGGGCGATTCCAATTGAAGATGAAAGCTTATCTTGAGAGCTTTCCAATGACAGGTCATATGCTCAATTTCGATGTAAAACGTGGGAGATATGCTCATTTGAAGCTGAGCAGTTTGCCCAGTCCGCAGCCAGGAGCACCCGCTCCTCACAGGGTGTGCAATTTTGAAGTTTGGCAGAAGGTTTGGCAGAAAGTTTGGAGCGCCCGCTCCTGAGGGGTGCACGCCCGCTCCTCTACGCGCTGCTCGACTTTTTGCGGAGCTTCCTAGGCAATTTAGTAAGGGCTATAAATAGATTTTTTGCTCATTTTAGAGGAGGGAATTCATATTTTCAGTAGTTTTAGGTTAGTTTTAGGTTTTTAGAGAGAGAAACTCTCAAATTTTGGAGAGAGAAAGTGAGAGAAACAATGGTTTTCATGGATTTTGGATAATCAAAGGAGGAATTTGATGATTTGAAGATCTCCATTTTATATCAATGAGCATTTCTTACTCTCTTCTCTCTTTATGCTTTATTAATTGCTTTGTTAATCATGTTTGAGTAGATTTCCTTCTACTAGGTGTTGAGTGAAGCTTTGTTATGGTTAATTGAGTTATTTGAGATAAATTTGATGATAATTGTGTGATTAAATTGATTGAATTGATGATGGCATGTTGTTTATTTTAGATTGGATTGATCTCCCAAGATAGCAAACTTAATTGCATGTTAGTTCTAGTTTGACAAGGGATTGTGAATTAGAATTTATATATTTGATTGCATTTTGGGTAAATTTCTTCTATGCACCTAGTCAATGAGGGATCTAGGCTAGGAATTTGAGAGATTGCTCTTAATGGTAATTAATTCCCATTTTAATTCTTTCTTTGCATGATTGATTATCAAATCGATTCCCATTAACTTGTTAATTGTTCAAAGTGGATCTTTGCCCCTAGTAGACTTTGTAATATCTTGATCTTTATATGTGTGTTAGTGTAGTTGTAGTGTCCACTATCCATAAACCGACTTCGGCGTAGCTTAAGCGTTAGATCGAGAACAATCCAACATTACCGTTCCTTATGGTTCGACTCCGAACTTACCACTAGACTTGTTTAGGGGTTAGTTTAGGATTATAATAAATTTTGTTTGGCCGTGAGGAGGTTAGTCAACGACATAATTTCCCCGCGCATCAAAATGGCGCCGTTGCCGGGGAACGGTGTCAATGCTTGATTGTTTTTGATTGCTTGAGTCTAGGTCTTTGTGTATACTTTTCTTTTTATTTTATTTTTTTTAATTTTTGCTTGTTTTTGTAAAAAAAATGGCAAGTAACTCGTTTCCTCAATATGACAATGAGCCTTTTTGTGAATATTTCAATAGACTTGAGGGATATTTGGATTTTGATTGTTGTAGTCTTTGGGAGGCTTGTGAGATTTGTTATTTTGGTTTGAATGAGAAAACTAGGGATGAATTTGAATGCATGCATAATGGTGAATTTAGAGCATTATTAATTGATGATGCTTGGGATTTTTATGTTTGGTTTGCTTGGGATGTCTATAATAAGGGTAATCATGATTCTATTATTGATATGCAATGTGTTGATACTTCTAATATTAGCATGAATTCCCATGATTTGTTACATGATCCCTTAAGTGAACCTAAAACACATGATTTCAACTCTATTTCCTCTTTTGTTCATGATGATGAGGTACATGCTCAAGTTGATGCTAATGGTGTGTTTCAATATTCTTCATTATTTACCATGCCTTCTTGTGATGTGCTTCGTTTCCTTAATGATGAATCTCATGTGTTTGATTGTGCCCCCACTCCCCAATGTGATGTATATGGTCATGATCTTAATGTTGATTTTTCCAATCTTGGTTGTACTTCTTCTTCTCTTGTTGAGCCTCAACCTTCAACACCTTTTGAATCCCTTATGCTACTTTTGAATCTCAAATTAGGTGCATTGAGCTTGATAATGAGCTTGGGCCTAGTAAGGAAATGATTCTTAATTCTACGAGAGGTCAATTAGAGATAATGAAAAAGAATGAGGAGCGTCTTGAGGAGGGAAGGAGAAGAAAAGAAGAGTTAGAAAGCCAATTGTCACCCTTGATGCTTGTTTGTGAAAAATCCCAATTTAATGTGTGTGTTGAGGATGATGATGATGATTTTGAGCAACCAAGAGAGTGTGAGGATCCCATTGGTGAGCATATGAGTGATGGTGAAGGAGTTGAGAATGAAGAGAGTGTTGATTTTGAAAATCCTAACCCTTTTTCCCATC